TATGACTGTCAATGTTCCTGTTAGTCAGTTCAAGAACAAGCAATTTCATTGCATCGGTGTGTTTTACGTTCGGTTCTTCAGAGCACAGCATTTGGCGGATCCGGTTACTTCGAAGGATATGTACGGAAATTCTGTGTCAAGTTTGTTGACGTGCATATGGGAAGCAGCCAGGAAATATGTTGCTCGGGAAATAGTGGTCGAGCATAAAGGGTGATACGGTCAAAATTTGGTCAATATCAACTTGACGTATTTCTTTCAATTTTGCATTTAAAAAACCTGAACACCCCACATTTTGAAGGTGTGTGTGTGTAGAATGTTGCTCCTATTTTGATTTTGGAATTCACTCTTCAGTTGTCAAAATGCCGTCCAAGCAAGAAGAGCAGCGTATCAAAATTTTGCTCGCGCATCGCGAAAATCCGAGCTACACGCACGCAAAGTTGGCAAAATCGCTAAAAGTTGCCAAATCAACCGTTACAAATGTAATTAAAGTGTTTGGGGAACGTTTGTCGACAGCCAGGAAGTCTGGATCGGGGGGAAATCGAAAACCGGAAGCCGCTGAGACGACAAAGAGAGTTGCCGGTAGTTTCAAGCGAAACCCTAACCTCTCTCTCCGAGATGCCGCAAATAAGCTGGGTGTATCGTCTACAACCGTGCATCGAGCCAAAAAACGAGCCGGACTATCGACTTACAAGAAGGTAGTGACTCCACATCGCGATGATAAACAAAATACGACGGCCAAAGCGCGATCCCGGAGGCTGTACACGACGATGCTGACGAAGTTTGACTGCGTGGTAATGGACGACGAAACCTACGTCAAAGCCGACTACAAGCAGCTTCCGGGACAGGAGTTTTATACGGCAAAAGGAAGGGGAAAGCTAGCAGATGTTTTCAAGCACATGAAACTGTCAAAGTTCGCAAAGAAATATCTGGTTTGGCAAGCCATCTGTACCTGTGGCTTGAAAAGCAGCATTTTCATAGCTTCCGGGACTGTCAACCAAGAAATTTACGTGAAAGAGTGTTTGAATAAACGTCTGCTGCCTTTCCTGAAGAAACACGGTTGTTCCGTACTGTTTTGGCCGGATTTGGCATCTTGCCATTACGGTTAAAAGGCCATGGAGTGGTACGCCGCCAACAACGTGCAGGTGGTTCCCAAGGACAAGAACCCTCCCAACACGCCAGAGCTCTGTCCAATTGAGAAATACTGGGCTATTGTCAAGCGGAACCTAAAGAAGACCAAAAAAACTGCTAAGGGCGAGCAGCAGTTCAAGGCAAACTGGCTTTCTGCGGCGAAGAAGGTGGACAAGGTGGCTGTACAAAATCTGATGGCAGGGGTCAAGCGTAAGGCCCGGAAATTCGGATTTGGAAAAGCGGAAGCCTAACTGAATATTTTTCCTGAATTTTATACTAATTGAACTTGAAAAAGAAATTTAATTTGATTTTTTAAATAAACGATTTCACCGATTTACACGACCAAATTTTGACCGTATCACCCTTTAGTGGTAATGAACAACACATCAGATGGTCTGCCAAGAATAATCCAGATGAAATTGATTTGGACAGATTTGTGCTGTTTAAGAACGAAAAAAATAAGAAATTTTATACTATGGAGGACATTTGGCACAACAACATGCTGCTGATTCATTGGAGAGGTAAACACACTCAGGTCCATGTGTTCAAACACTCCTCCTCCATTGCAACGCTACCCATGTGGGAGAACGCCAGCAAACTACTACTGCACCTAGAACGCAAGGATAAAGCTCGAGCTCCAGGAACGGAGGAAATTTTTAACTGTGTCATTGATTCACTCACATTACTCCGCACTATTTTCATCTTGGGAACGGTGGGCAAATTTTGTTCTTGCTCAACCAGCAGACCAACGTACAAGGTTGATGAGAGAAGCGCCGCCGGATGAGTATCTCCACTTGTTTCGTGCTGCTCCAATTTTTGAAGCAAATCAGCTTAAAGTTACGCGTCAAGGATTACAAGTGGCTTACAATATTGCAGATGGAATTTTAGCAACTGCAAGTGGCTTGTGTACAAAAGTGGATTCAATTTCAGAGAGTATGAATCAAATCCAAAGAAAACTACACTGCCTCAATACACAGGTGAATTCTTCCCGCTTATTGTTGGATGCAATGCAAGATTCCTTACCACCGGAGGAAACTGAATTCAGCAAGAAGCTGGCTTCTCTTGTTACGGACATGCCTGACATCGACCATGCTGACCACAAACGAAGTGACAGACGGAGCGGCTCGAAAACTTTGGTGACTAACCTGCTATTGCAATTTTTCAGTGTACCACATGGCAACACCACTACTACTGGATTGTATCACATGGCAACACTACTACTAGATTGAACTAGCATTTTCACCAAATGTACTAGAATGTTTTGGTTCTATCCCTTTCACTCTACTCAAAACTGAAATGCATAAAAAATTACAAAATGATACGCACTCTTTGCACACTGTCAAAGAATCATTGTACACAAAATCAACTTTGTTCAAATCAAAACAAAAAAAACTAACCCATCTGGTGGATGATGGCACAAGCTTCCAAGAAAATTCTATTACAGTGAACCACATTATTTAAATGGATTTCTTCGCCAGTTAGTCGTCTGTCACTTCGTTTGTGATGTTAATGCTAGAGTTATTCAAGATTGCTTTCATGTCATTGGCCACAACTTTCTGGACCTTATTAATGAATCATTGCAGAATGGACATGTGCCACAAATTTGGAAGGAATCCTTAGTGATTCCTATTCAAAAAGTTGCTGGAACGATTAAAGTCGAAGAGTTTCGTCCCATCAACATGTTGCACACATTAGAGAAAATCTTAGAACTCGTTGTTAAAGGCCAGCTGTTGGAGTATTTGAATAGCAACTCTTTGTTGATACCAGAACAATCGGGATATCGGGAAGGTCATTCTTGTGAAACCGCATTGAATTTGGTGTTAGCAAAGTGGAAAGACAACTTGGAGCGTAAAGATACGATTGTTGCTGTTTTTTTGGATCTGAAACGCGCTTTTGAAACAATTTCTAGGCCCTTACTGTTAAGTACAATCAAGCGCTTTGGAATTACGAGTACTGCATATAAATGGTTTGAAAGCTATTTGTCTGACAGAACTCAACGGACTGTTTTTAATGATTCTGTTTCCAATCCCGTGGGGAATACCCTTGGAGTGCCCCAGGGAAGTGTATTAGGGCCAATGCTGTTTATTATGTATATTAATGACTTGCGACGTGTTTTACGGTTTTGCGACATTAATCTTTTTGCAGACGATACTGTGTTATTCATTGCAGCTAAGGATTTAGAAGTTGTCGTCTCACACTTGAATGAAGATTTGCAGTATCTAAGTAGATGGTTGAAGTGTAAGCAGTTAAAATTGAATACAAGTAAAACTAAATTTATGGTAATTTCGCGGAATCGATTAAATGAGGACGTCTCTGTTGTAATTGATGATGAGACTATTGATCGCGTTCAGGAGATTAAATATCTTGGCGTGATTATTGATGACAAACTTAAGTTCAACTCTCACATTGACAATGTCATCAAGAAAATTGCCAAGAAGTATGGAATTCTATGTCGACTGAAAAACGATTTAACTATTGCCAGTAAAATACAGCTATACAAATCAATCATCTCTCCTCATCTAGACTTTTGCCCCTCTATTTTATTTTTGGCCAATGAAACACAAATATCGAGATTACAGCGCTTGCAGAATAAAATAATGCGTTTGATTTTGAGATGTAATAGATTCACTTCCTCAACTTTGATGCTAGACGCCTTACAATGGTTGTCGGTGAAGCAAAGAATTGTATATTTGACTATGGTGTTCATTTTTAAAGTAGTTAACGGTTTGCTACCTCGATATTTGTGTGATCGAATTGAAAGAGGAAGTGACTATCATAGATATAATACTAGAAACGCGGATGAAATAAGAACACCACATTTCTTGACTTGTGCTTCACAGAATTCATTATTTTTCAAAGGAATAAATGTTTTCAATTCGATGCCTAGACACGTTAAACGTTCAACAACATTAGCAGAATTTAAGAGACATTGCACGTTAAAACTGTCTTTTGAACGGTTATCCAGTGATTTTTTTTATGAATTGACAAATTATGTATCTTGACGAAGTTATATTTAACGGATTATTTTGTATGGATAGCTGTTATAACGACTTTTTAATAATTATTGTTGCACTGCAAAAACTATTTTGTTCGCCACGATGGTGATGATGGATTTTTGATATATGATTTAATAGTAGTAGTAAAAAAAATAGTAGTCTACAAAGGTTTGAGCCTCGCGCGCGAATTATGGATATAGAGGACTGAATTTAACATTCGATAAAAAAAAAAATGCAATTTTGAAGCTTATTTGGAAGATACCTTGAGTTAGTAGTAAGTTTTCTGGCAAATGTTGGGGGTTCGTGAGCATTCCTGACATTGCTGAAAATTATGATAGCATCAATTGCGGGGTTACTAGTGTAATAGGATGCTTTGTTGATTGTTCATTAACTCTTGATTGCTTGTAATACTTATGAATATTTTAGGTGGACAAAAAGGCGAACTAAGACGTGGACGCCTGAGCTTTTCCACATTTATATCGCTGTGAAGCAACTGTAAACTCTAGAGGGAATTTATATCTGTAACTGAAACCAGTTCGATTTTGTTTGCCAACCTGTCAAATGTCATATCTAATTATCTTAAAAATAAATCGTCCAGCTCAAACCTTTGTAGGGGCAAGAGGTGCGACCATCATCATCATCATGTGGAAAACTGCTTTTTTTTATTATTATTTCGAGAGACTTCAGAAAGTGAGAACAAAACTTGCTAAAACAGTTTCTCTCGTGTTAAAGAAAACGGAAAACTGGCAACCCTTCATCCGGTAAGTGATACAGTAAAGGCCGAAAGCTTGGGACTCCTCCCATAGCTAAATTGACACAGGACGAGACAGCTGTCATCAACTATCAGTGTCATTTCGTAAACAAAACAAAAGTCTCGCAAAAAACAGCTAAAAATATTCTGCCGTTTTGTTCTTTGTAAAAAATTGTCTTCATCAACAAAACCTGTAGTGCCCGACGGGAAACGAGTCTCGCCCAATGGCTCTGTCCAATGTGCTCATCCTTAGCCAGGTGGCCGGCCATGTCATCGGCCTGATCCTGTCGCTGTGCATGTTCATCCCCCTGTCGGTCCATGTCCATTCGTTCAAGTAAGTCGCAATAAAAATGTTAATTTGAGCCGCCTGAAACGGGACTTTTCCACAGTGGCCACTGTTTGCTCTTTGCCACCGGAACGTGGCAGGAGAAGGATGGACTGTTCGACGTGAGGTGGGCCTCGGAGGCTTACTGCAACTACCCGATCCTGGTGGGAGTGGCCCTGTTCATCATCTCCGGATTACAGATCTATCGGTGAGTTTGTTGCTGTAAGCGAAAGTTTCTGGATTAACTGGAACCGTTTCAGCTTGGCCATTCTGGTGTACCGTGAGCTGGAGAGTTCCTTCCTGGCGCTGTTCTTCGATGTGGTTTTCAGTGTTAGTCTGTGTGCAATGACGGTCATTGCTGCGATTATCATCACGCTTGGGTTCATGACCTGGTGCGGAGATATGACAGAACGTTTCCCCTCGTAAGTGGAGCTTGCGGTTGTTGTGGAAGTTGATGCTTAATTCTTAAATTTTTTTACAGTTGCGAGGTGGCCGACGGCCAGAACATCACCACCGTCGAGCTGAATATTCAAACGTCCGGGTTTTACATTGAAATGGGCACGGCCCAGTTCGGGGCCTGGGCATCGTTTGCCACTTGGGTGGGTCTGTCGGTGTTTGCCCTGCTGAAGCTTATCAACAATCACCAGTTGCGCAACATGAAGGTCTCGATGTACATCGAGCGGCAGCGGCTAGTCAACGAGGATGTGTACAGGGGAACGACCTCGGAGCTACCGAGCGGAGCAGGGGCGGCGGACTTGATGGCTGGTTCTCCCGGAGAGAACCAGCTGGATTGAGCGTGCTACAATTAAGTATTCGAATCAATTATTAACATTATCACTTTACCAGATAACAATGCAGTTGTGGTCGATTGTGGGAAAACTATAGTGGAGATTCCAAAAATGTGATTTGTCAGACAAGTGATTGGATAATCGTCATTCGATTCCATATTTTAGTAACTTAATGTAGTGTTTCACAGGGGGAAAATGCCGAACAAAATTTATACTTTCTGATTGTTTATTTTGCATTGCTGTAATGAGTTGATCTATTCATTCTACACCATAATATTATTCTACAAAATATTTAGTAATCCTTGCGTAAAGCATCCATTCAATTATGATAAAGGAACGGAAATATATGAAAAAAAGGAAGTTACTCATCAAATTCTGTTGTTGAAATTGAGAACCTTAGACTAATGACAGACTGACTGACTGAGCCGGCAAGGAGCTATTCGGATATCAATAGAAACATCTAAACATCTTCCTCATGACAAACAAAACTCGCCCTTTATTCCTTCCTCATCCAACTCAAACGATCTTCCGCAGCACGTCCGGATTCTCCTGATCCAGAAACAGCACATTGAACACATCGTTGTAAAAGTCCGGATAGTACTCACAGGCCCGCTTGCAGTCCGGAGTAAAGTTCACCTCCAGCACCTTCGGTTGGATAGTCGCTCCTCCGTCCGCCCATTCCAGCATCAAATCCACGGCATACAACGCCCGGGACTGAGCACTGGCTCCGATTCCGCACGGCGGACCCACCTTGGTCGCCCCCTGCAGCACCTCCTTCAGCATGTCGCAAATGTCCGCCTCGACCGATTCCCACGGATGTTTGGGATATTGCACCTTCCACCGTTCCAGGAATTCCTCGCACTTCATGTGCCTCAGCTGGAACTGCGAGTAGTTCATCACGGTGAAATGTTTCTCGTAGTCGTCGAAACCGCTCAACTCGAACGGTTTGTTCGCAAAACGAAGGAAGAAGTTGGTGTAGACGTAGGCGGACAGCTCATCGACGCTTTTCAGCAGGATCACGTACCGAATATCGAACTTGACGCGACCCTCCACTTCCGGACGCTCAAATAGGACCGGATTTTCGATGTACTTCTGCACAATCTTCGGTCCGGTTTGCTGAAGCCGCATAATCTGAGTCAAGCTCTTAGTAATATACATATCCAAGCCACGGGCCAGATTCCAAGGTTTCACGATGTAGTGATTGTCCAGCCCCTTGTGGGCACGGTTCTGATAGTAACTGACAAATTCAACCAATTCGGTTTTCAAATTGTACGTCACTGGCAGCCATTGGGGATTGGCTTCCAACGAATCCTGGTCACCCTTTCTGGCCATCCGTCTGCACACAATGCTGAGAAGGTCCTTGATGGTGATCACATTCTCGAACGGGAACTGATTGACGTACTTATTCGGCGTGGACTCGCTGAATTCTTTGTACTGCTTGAAATGGGACGTCAACCAAAGAATGTCCGCCTCTTCCGGGCTCTGCACAATCTCAAATCCCGGGTCCGTTAGATACTGATTGACCATTTCGTACTCGGAATAGACCTTTAGCGGACTGTTACCATCGAACAACGGTGGGGCAACATCCGGATCGGGAAGCGATTCCTCGATATGCCCCGCCAGGAAGTACTCCTTGGCAGCCTCCTTTTGGGTGTAACTTTCCTCCGCCAGAGAAGTATAGTGCCACGGAAGCAACAGGGCATCACGTTCCTTGCAATCACTGGGAACTCCTTCCACGAAATCCCGGTACAGCTGATCTCCTTCTTCCAAATCTTCTATGGGAAACAGCAAACTGTAGGTCATCTGTTCCGTGACGTGAATGAAAGGCACCACTCGGCAGTTCGGACTGTTGCTATGCAAAATTCCACTGCCTAGCTCGTCCATAACGTACCAGATAGGCATCCGGTTCTCCACGGTCAGCCCTTCCCCATTCAGCGAGTACATGTTGCACCACTTCCAAACGTCGTTCAGAATCTTGGAAACGATCACCGAGCTTGGCAGAGCCTCCTGTTCGATTCCCATCATGATGGCCAGTCGGTTGACCAGCGGTGGATGTTCGTTCAGCAATTGCCGGGCATTGTCCGCCCTGAAGGTCCACGCATGGTCGACCAGATAGATCTCCGTCGGATCGTTGGCCTGAATTCCACCCTCCTTGACCACGGCCACCGTCCAGATGGGTTCCTCCTGGGAACGCTGTTCCTCCTGGGAACGCTGTTCCTCGCCGTAGTCCACCAGGAGTAGAGAGAAGCTGCTGCCGGCGTCGAATTCCTGGTGCTTCAGCTTGCGGAACAACTGCGGCCAAAAGTGTTCCGGTACGCCCGATGCCTGCAGCTGCGCCTTGTGGACGGATATGAATGCATCGTACTGGTTAAGGCCGTCCATCGTGGCTTGAATGCACTCGTTTCGAACTTAACTTTGAGAATACTTTTTTCCGGTGTTTTTGAAGTAAATATAAATTTAATGAGAAGCATGCTTTTCCCATCGGAATTTGACAGTATGATGATGGTTGTTGATACGATGATGACGTGATGATGATAAGGAAGCTTACAGCTACACGCTCGTTTATTTTTACTCAAGATAATGTAAATTCTACCCAGTTTCATATTTTCATGCAAAATGTAAAAAAACCGTCGACCGTTTAACTCGATGGTTGTTTGATAATTGCAAGGATAATTGATCCTTTGATTATTGGTCTGGGTCACTGGCCATTCGTTTTCCATCGCCCGTCCCCGTGCCCGTTATGCCGTTCATATAATGGCCTTTTAGTCACCACCTCTCATGGCCGCCTAACATCAATGAGCTGGATTACCGAGGTGAAGCAATCGGTTAAGTTGTGTGAGTAAAACCCCTGTACGATACAAGCAATTAGTGACGTCACTACTTGCGTTTCCGTTGATTTTTTGGTTTACTAATACAACAATATTTCACGATCTGCTTCACCTCTCTCTGTACTCATTGGCAACATGCTGTTTTTACTCCATCTGGTGGTGGACTACTGGCAAATATGGAAGTTCCGTATGGAGATGCTCTATGTGATTCTCTAATGGCGGTAAGCTCCAACTCGGATTAACTTTTAATACCGTCCCTGTTTGTATGATCTGAAAAATGTTTGCTCAGAATTATGTTGATTAACTCTGATGTCGACATCAAACCAGCCGGACATTCTTGATCGGGATTTAATCCGAGGATAATACCGGTTGGAGCTTACCACCATAAAAGTCGCAATGATATTGCGCATTCTGGATTCGTAACTGCACTCGAGGGTAGACTCGATGCGGATTTAACGGTTGCGCTTGACAGTCAAAGCTGCTGGACGAATTCGAGCGTCGAAAGGAACCTTTGTTACCCGGTTCCAGTGGACAATCAGAAGAAGGAAAAGCGCTGAAAAGTTTCATCAAGCGAAATGTCTCCGTTTCAGAACGTTTGTGATTTGTTTTGTAAGCAGATTGCCCAGCGTTATCAGAACAGCAGAACCCATGTTATACCGTGACAGCGAGCCGAGCACAGCAAAATAAACGATTTGAGTCCGGGACATGCTGCCTACTGTCAAACGCTGCTGTAAGTATAGATCTTGTCACTGGCCTGGTAGAAACAGACTGGCGATAAGAACAAGAAGAGTGATTCACCGGCATGCTGCAGCGAAGCAAGTTGTGGCAAAGGACAGAAGAGTGCTGTTTTGTTCCTGAGGGATGGGATCCAACGGAGTAGCTGGATTATCGATAGTGGAGCAAGCGTTCATATGTCCAATCGATCGATGAGAAGGATGTACAAGAAGTTTTTTTTGGCTGATGGATCTTCTGTTGAATCGGCTGGATGTGGTAATTGAAGGTGTGTTCTATTAATGGCTCTGGTGGAGTGGTCGAGAATGCGCTATACGTTCCGTCGCCTAATAGTTGGCTGCTGTATGTGAGAATGTGTTCACCGACCCGTTTTTCCCGTACAATGTCACCGGCAGTACCTTGAACAGCGTCGAAGAAACGGGCTGACGGTGGATGGTTACAGTGGCATCGATGACTGGCTGTTTCTTAGTGGGTTCCGAGTGAAGAAGACGATGATGGCATTTCTCACAGTTATTGATTCCGCAAACGTCGCCTTCACATGGCCAACGAGTGTGCGATACGAGACAACGGCGGCAGAGTTTGTTGTCCTTGACGAGATTCCACCGACCGTCGATCGAACGCTTCTTGAAAGTTACACAGCTAGCAGCCGTGTGGCCGTGCGCGCCGCACGCTGGACAAATTTTGGTTTCTTCTCCTTTGCCTTTAGCGCTCTTGTTCTGGCCTCGCCGATCCCCAGATAGATTGTCAGTTGCTCCTGGATCCTTCTGTTCTTGGGCTACATGAGCGTTCACGAACGCCTTTTCCTTGATTCTGGGTTTCTCTTCTTTCACCAGCTTCGATGCGATGGAGAAGGTCGTAACACCACTAGTACACGGATAGAAATCTCCTTATACCTTTTGGCAAATTTCCATTGCTGATTATTCATAAAATGTATAAGTCAACTAATAAGCAGACGCCTTGCAAATAGTTAATAAAGATCATGTGTCAAATGAAATGTATAAGCGGTCACACATACCTTTTATGCATTCTAATAGGACCTATGTGGTTTGTCTTATGGAATGTATAAGGCTGATGCTTTGGCAAAAATGTATAAGTGAAACACATGAATTAAATAATTGATTTTCGTTTCGTGTAGCGGTTGTCACCTTCCTCATGTACTCGCTGAACGCTTTCAAATTGACCACAGGCAGGTTCTCTTGATGCAGCGCCCAGTTGAACTTGATGTTAGCCGGCAGTTTATCCACGAGCTCTTGTAGAAGGATGGGGTTGGATACACGAAACGAAAATCAATTATTTTATTCATCTGTTTCCCTTATACATTTTTGCCAAAGCATCAGCCTTATACATTCGATAAGACAAACCACATAGGTCCTACAAGAATGCATAAAAGGTATGTGTGACCGCTTATACATTTCATTTGACACATGGTCTTCATTAACTTTTTGCAAGGCGTCTCCTCATTAGTTGACTTATACATTTTATGAATAATCAGCAATAGAAATTTGCCAAAAGGTATAAGGAGATTTCTATCCGTGTAGGTGGTTGTCCATTCCAACAGCTTGCAGGTGGCGACACAAGTTTTGGACCGCCAAACCAAAATGGATCAACGTCTCCAACCTTTCTGCTTTGGGAGCGGGTATACCTTGAACTTTGGCGACTAGGTTGTGCACGATCTGCTCTGGTCTTTCGTACAGCGTGTGCAGGGTTAACAGAACTTGCGGCATGGTGGATGGATGGAGAAGAAAACTGCTGATGGCTTCCTTAGCGGGTCCTTTAAGCCAGAGACGTTGATAGAGACGCGCAATGAAAATTTCTGTCGAAACAGCAGCACGGTTTTTGAGGGATCTTTTGGCAATGTCACTGGCAACCATGTTTCTTCAAGTGGCTTCAAATGACTTTCATACAGTGCCGCAATGCTGTTAAGAAAATTTGAACGTTCGACCGGAACTGCATAAAAATGATGGGCGCGGCAACATTTTGCAAAAATAAAGCGAAGACGATAGATGCTTTGCTTGGTTCGTTCCGATTAGATTTTTTTTATCACTAATAAATGTTGTATTTAATTGCATCAACAATAAATAAATAAATAACAGATATCAAATATTTCGTAAAAATAATTAAACGCTTTTATCATCATTGAGAAAAATACTCCTTTCTGGTTAAGTGAGCGAACAGTAGTGTTTATTTACTTTGCTCGTTTGGTTCTTCTTGCTTCAGTCTATGCGTGTCTCTATTTAACGTCTCTGCTTTAAGCGACCGTTGTAAACGAAGCAGATTTTCTGAGTCGGTGTAGCCGCACGCCATGGTGAAATGGTTGTAGCTACTAATAAAAAGTGGCCATTCGATGGGATCGCCACTGAACACCGGAAGCTCTCTGGAGATAACTTGTCTCGCTGCCAACTGTTGAGGCGTCGGTCCCTGCATTACCGACTGGTGTTGAACGGGTGCGAATCGGTTTAAATCCACGGAATTCGGTACGAATTGTGACTGCCCTAACGGATTTACTAAAGAAGGCCCTATAAAAGATGGTACAAACGTTCTAGGCGGTGTTCCTAATAACCTATCCTGGCTAGTGACACTTGGACTAGGTGTCGATCTATTTCGATCGTTATCGAGCAGGTTTCGGTTAGATTTCTTTTGATCATCATGGGAACCACTATCTGAAGCCGTTGGAGGGTTTGTACTCACGACTACGCCTTCCTGGGTTGGTCATCGGGAGCTCCTAAGTTGTTCCGCTGAAGCGCACATGTTCACCACCGAGTGATGATTGTCCGCCGCAGAATGCTATTGCGTCGCCTGACGCTCTTCTACGCTTGCCCGCTGTTTCGCTGTTGAGCGCTGTTCCACTGCAGATATGCTGTAGTTCAGGCGTAGAGCTTCCAACCGCTCGATCAACTGCTGCTCCTTTACCAGGAATGACTGCTTCTCTTCTGTTCGCCTGGCTTGCTCTTGGGCGTACTGTTGCTCGAAAAGCTTGAGTCGGTTCACCAGATCCAGTTCTCTCTTCCTCCGGACATCATTCTCCTTTTGATATTTCGCTTCGACGTTGTGCTGTTTCTCCAGCATGGCTTTGATTTGTTGCATACGTTGCCTGTCCCGCTCCCGCTGTTCCTCGGATTGCCTCAGTAAATGGATTAACTTCTGCTCGCGCTGCTGTTGACACTGGGATTCGTCCATCTCATCACGGCGCGGCTGATCTTGAACATGCTGCCTCCGCATCTCGTTTGTCTTGCGTTGCGACACTCGGAAGTTTGTCCACAATTATCGGGTTTGGAAGTCGGGCGTTCTGCGAACTCTGAACCAGAAAGCGAACATACGGCTGGATGTTAACTAACGGTAGAAGAGGGACATTCGCTTGATTATCGGCACGCCGTTGTTGCTGTCCGAATGGTTCCTTCGCGAAATCGTCTTCGATCCCCGGACTGTACCCAATGGAAATACTGTCCGTGGTGCGAGGGATCAATTCCGTAATTCCAGCTGGGACCCGCTGGTTACTACGTTCGGGAAATTCGTTGATGGGCGTTGACGATCCGACAGGCCCACTACTATGGTCTGATGGAATCTGTCGTTGTTCTTGTGGTGTTGATCGGGTAGCGTGTGAGTCGATAGCGGGGTCACCGTGGGTGGATATTTGTTGTTCGAACCACGCTTCCACCTTCTGTCGGCTGCTTGTCTGGCTCCGACTGCTTCGTCCACTTCGCACACTTGCCAAATCATCGTCGTGTTGGCGCAGCAGCTCGTGCTTCCGTACCAAATATTCTTTTTCTCGTTGCAGCTTCTCGTTGCAGCTTTTGCAGCCACTCTTCTTCCAGCTGTTCCCGTAAACGCATTTCGTCCTTCAGCTTCTTCAGTTCCCATGCCATCTGG